GATTCGCTTTCCGGCGAGTGCGGCTGCCGGCCCATCTTCTTCTACCTTTGCCGCGACACCTGGCTCCTGACTCCGGTGGCGGCTCGTCCGTGGCGAGAGAGCGGGGCGGGGCCGGGCCGGTCTCTGGCCTGCCCCGCGAGGTGACCTTGGTTTAGTCCACTGTCGCGCCGAGCTGCGGTGCCCGTCTGTGTCGCGGGCCTGTTTGTTAGGGACCCGGCTCTGGAGCGGTTGAGGACACAGACCTAGAGAGCGGCCCCATAGGCTGCCCCGTGGCAGGGTCACCACCGGGCCGCCAGGGGCGGTGTGTATGGGTGATGCCCCTACACGTGAAATGGCCGTTCCCCGCGGTGCCACCGGTCACCTGGACCCTGGCCAGCAGCGTCGTCATGGGCCTGGTGGGCACCTACAGCTGCTTCTGGACCAGTGAGTGGGCTTGGCCGGGGTGGGGAAGCCCTGGGCCCCAGGGGAGAAGGGGGCCGAGATCCCCTACACTCTCTCTCTCTCCCCCCAGAGTACATGAACCACCTTACCGTCCACAACAAGGAGGTGCTGTATGAGCTCATCGAGAATCGAGGCCCAGCCACTCCCCTCATCACCGTCTCCAATCACCAGTCCTGCATGGATGACCCTCATCTCTGGGGTACCCAGACCAGTATTCTGGGCACAAGGAGGCGGGGAGAGAAGGGGCCAGACAGAAGCCGAACAAACCCACTTCTCAGTGGGTTCTTCACATAGCTCTGGCACGACTGTTTCTGGGGCGTCCCGCCTCGGGGGTGACAGTTTGATTTGTAGTCCCTTCAGCATCCTCTCAGGCAAGGCGATTTGGAGAGGGCGTCAGAAATTTCGAGGAAGTGAGGAATGGCTGCGGGGCAAGGTCTTGACAGCTTATTTACTGTGATTCAGCAGGCTTGTGTAAGCCATGGAAGGTCCCACAGAGTCTGGGGAGCAAATCTGAGGACCTGTCAGGGAAACTCTGGATTAGGGGCTGGAAGACCTGTATCCTGGTTCCAGGTTTGCCCCAGGCTGGGTTTGTACCCTTCATCCAGCCTCACCTGGGAGCCCACCTGGTTCCCCACCTAGAAGTTCCTGCTCTACTCACTTCACAAGGAGCTGCTTGGCTCTGGCAACCTGGATGTCTGGATAGAGGGGTGCCCAGAGCTTTCCCCTCCGAATGCAGGTTAGACTGTCGTACAGCTTGTGGGGAGCCACCTGGTGTAGTTGGAGCTTTTGGGGGCTCACCGTGGCTGCAGGGCAGAGAATGGTCTGTGGGGTGCCACAGCCAGACCCCAGGAGGCCAAGAAGGCGGCTTTAGAGCCATCCGGTAGTCTAGACGAGGGTGGTGGCAGTGACATTGGAGAGAGAGGTCTAGAAGAATAGGTAATGTCAAAATATGTCAGGGAGGTAGCCAGACCAGACATAGTGACTAATGAGATACGGGGAATGAGAGAGAGAGAGAGGAGCCAGGGAGAATGTGGGGGTCCACTCCAAGGCTCTGGAAGATGCCACTTTGGCCATAGAAAAAGGGTAGTGCTGCTGCCCTTGTCCTTCATTCCTTGAAACGGGGTGACAGAAAACGGTGCTCTCTAGGGACAAGGTAAGTTGGGGCATGAAGCCTTTCCTCTCCTCTAGGGATCCTGAAACTGCGCCACATCTGGAACCTGAACTTGATGCGTTGGTGAGGAGGAGAGGGCCCCTCCCATGGGCCTGGCCGGCCTCACCTGTCTCTGCCCAGATTTGCCCTCCTCCTCCTCTGCCCAGGAGGCGGCATCCTGCAGTCCAGGCAGGGCACGGGGCGGGGCCCCACAGGCCCTCCTGTGCCTCCGTCACCCAGTGCCGCTGCTGTCATGCATCACGCTTGTGGGGTGGGTCCGGAAGCAGGGTGCGGGGGAGGCGGGGATGACCGCGTCTGTTCCCACTCCAGGACTCCTGCAGCCGCAGACATCTGCTTCACCAAGGAGCTACACTCCCATTTTTTCAGCTTGGGCAAGTGCGTGCCCGTATGCCGAGGTGAGCTGTTCTTCCTGCAGGGGCCGGTGGGCCAGTGGGTGCAGGAGGGTGCTTCTGCAGGCTTCTCTGGCCTCTTTGGGACAGGGAGCCTGGTAGCCAGTGCCTCTGGCTTGGCAGCACTGGGAGTGGAGGGGCCCAGGTGAGACAGAAAGCCTGGGAGCAAGGGGAGCCAGGGGGCTGCTGCCCCACTAGCTGGCCAGCTCCATTGAGTGGCAGCAGAGGTGGCGGTGGCTGCTGGAGGAGTGATGGCTTCTTGGACAGTGCTCGAGTCTCTGTGACTGACTACCTGACGGCTGCGCGAACCTAGAACTGTGGCATTAGAAGTCAAGGCGGCATTATTCACAGCCCCTTCTCTCGAGGACGTTACTAAGAGACTCGCTGACGTCACTGTGGTGTCGTGGGTCTGTGATGGCAGTGGCATGTGCCACAGGCTGCAGGGTTCAGGAGAACAAACATGCTTGTGAGGTGAGGTGTGTAACATCGAATGGCTGCCCGGCACCTCTCAAGAGCCTCAGGAAGTAGGGGCCATTTCGGTTCCCATTCTCCAGATAAAGACGCTTGGAGAGATTAAGCCGCTGGCCCAAGGTCATGGGGCCCGAGATGGCAAAGCGAGGATTTGAATCCAGGTTGCTCTTCCCTCTGGGGAAGTAGAACTTTTCTAGGCAGAGAATGAAAGGAAAAGCGTTCTAGATGCTGGAAGCGATCACGGTAGGAAATGCAGGTTGCAGGCCAAATGTGAAGGTTCTGGAATAATCATGTTAAGGATTTTGGACTCTGCTCTCTCATCGGGGAGTGATGTGCTTTTGTCTGTGCTTGAGAGAGAGAGAGAGAGAGAGCGCGGGCATCCTGGCTGCAGAGGCTGGTGGATGGGAGCAGGGCCAGGGCAGGCGCGGAGCCCGGTCAGGGGCTGTCACAGCAATTCTGCCAGCAAAAGATTGTAGCTGGGCCTCTGAGGGTCACTGTGGAAAGCGTGAGAAGGGGACAGCTTTGGGATATGCTCTGGAAGCAGGGTTGACCGAACCCGTTGATAGGTCGGGTGTGGGAAGGGGCAAAGAAAAGAGAACTCAAAGATGACACTAGGTGACATCTGGTGATACCAAGCCACTGGGGAGATGGGATGAGGGGAAAGCAGTGTGATGCTTGGGAGGGGAGGTGAGTCCCGTTTAGCACATGCTTTATCTGAGGAGCCTGTCACCCAAGGAGGGGCGCAGTCCCAGAGGCAGTGGGGTGTGCAGTTCTGAAACTCGAAAAGATGGTTGAGAATGAAGATACTGGGGACTCGACCGCAAAGGAAGTCACCAACAGAAGTGACATTGCAGAAGGGAAGAGCAGGGAGAGAGCAGGGGCTCTGAACGGGCACCTCAGAGCACAGAAGGACAGACAAGTCACCAAGGCAACAGGAAGCGGTGGCCAGAGAGGAAGGAAGCAAAGCAGGACCCCGGAGAAGCTCTTTTCTTGGAGAAGCTCTTTTCTTGCCTCGGGAGCTTCTAGGAGCTGGAGGCGGGAGGGGCAGGGAGACAGCAGGGGTGGGCACTTCCCCCCAGAGGTTGGTCGGTCTGGAAGAGAGAGGAAGAAGGAATCCAGGGTGTTAGAGGTGTCAAGGGGGAGTATTTTTATTTCTAGTCGATCAAAGTAAAACATGGTCAAATACAATCAAGTAACCTAAAAAAATGAAAAGCTGCAGCGCCCACAAACCCTCAGGCTACTCCCCAGAGACAGCCGCCCGGAGCGCTCTTTCTTCTTGCCGCTTTTGGAAACTACTTTGTCCCTCTAGAGCACAAGGAGAGACTACAGTGTCATGGCTGGTGACCTTGGCGTTCATCACACCGTGCTCTGGAGATGGGGCCTCTGCTCATGTACCCCAGCCCGAGTCTCAATTCCTCCCTTCTGCCTCCTGAAACCAAACCTAAATCCTAAGCACCTTCAGGGAGAGAAAGTGGATGGGGACAGGCCTTTTATCAAACGTGTTTGACGGACAGCAGAGATCCGAATGTGTGTTGAAGGAAAGGAGGGATCCGGCACACTTCGCTTCTGTGTTCCAAAAAAAAATCCCCTTTCCTCCCTGAAGCGTAGACTTTGTGGTGTGACCTGAAGTATCGGAACAATGTTGTACGAGCTCTCCAAGTGAGCAGAAAGGGTGTTTGCAAAAGCTAAACATTATGAAGTGAGCCTCCAAAAGCATAGCATTGTTTTTAAACTTTGATTTCAAGCTGGATGGCTGGGTCGCACCAGTAGGTTTGAGTAGAGAAGGAGCCGGCACCTCTGACTCCTGGAGCCCTGACCAGCACCTTCCAAAGACTCAGCCTCACAGAGAACAGGTTACACGTCCGGTCCCCGATGCACTGGCCCTGTGGCACTACCCATCTGCGATGTGGCTCTCTAGTCCCTACTGGCTAAAATGAGCACGCTTACTCAACCCCGCTCCTTCAACTGCCCCCTTCTCTGTCTCTGTCCACCGTAAGGACGCGGTTCATGAAGTTCTCACTGCGTGGTCACAGGTTGTCCCCACACAACATCAGGCACCCATGTCTGCGTTGTTGCTGACCGCGGGGCCGCCTGGGTCCAGTATCATGGTCTCGGCCTCTCCAAGGCCAGCGTTGCTAGCATGGGGGGCACCTCAACCCCACTTTCCTCAGTAGCAAGTTTGAGTTTTTCCCAACTCGTATGTTCCATCAAATGGAGAGTCTAGTTTTCAGGGGAGTCCTGTGAGGAAGGGGCCAGCAGGAGGGACAGAGGAGGCAGAGGGCGCAGGCGGGGCTGGGAGGCCCGTGGGGCGAGGCGGCGGTAACCGGCCTGGCCGGGCCCCTGGGACAGAGTTGCTGTATAGAATCGGGCCCAAGCGAGGCTTGGAGTTATGAATAGACTCGGTTTGCTCCAGCAGCACCCTCCAGGCCAGAGGCAGCAGATGTAGAGTCCCCCAGGGTGGCGCATCCCAAGGAGAAAGAAGGCTCCAAGAGCTTGGCAGGGGAGGGAGGGCGGTGCGTGGGTCAGGGGTCTGCCAGGGGCATAGTATGCCTGTGGCCGAGCGGCTCATCGGCTGGGGCTGTGGTGTGACCGATGGCAGAAGGTAAGGTTAGAGATCAGTAGAGGACTTGTCAAGTTCAGAATTTCAGTTGAAGACAGTTTGAGATGATGGTGACGCTACCTCGCACGTGACAGGCGCTCAGAGGTTTAAAGGATATTATTGAACAAAGAATGTCATGGTGAGGTGCACAGCGGTGCGGCTGGGACTGAGGGGCCCAGGAGAGACAGTCGTTGGAGGGTGTCCCTGTGGACGGCGCAGTGAGAAGAGGAAGTCCCCGAGCTGTTGCTTCATTCCCAGGGACAGGGGAGGAGGGGCCCCGGTAGAATGGGGACTGATGAGGAGAGACCTTTTCTGGGCAGGAGATGGCGTCTACCAGAAGGGAATGGATTTCATTTTGGAGAAGCTCAACCACGGGGACTGGGTGCACATCTTCCCCGAAGGTCAGTGGGGCTGGCAGGGTCAGAGCGTGCCCGAGAATATGGTCGGGACCCCCGGCTCCCCTTCAAACCCTCACCACTGTCCCATCTCTCTCGATAGGGAAAGTGAACATGAGCTCTGAGTTCCTGCGCTTCAAGTGGGGTAAGGGCTGCTGGCCCTCTCTGGCTCGGTCGGGCCATGGCACACGGGGCGGATGGGTGTGTTGGTAGCAGGAGCGAGGGAACAGACAAGGGCTGGCCCAGGGGAGCTGCTTTTAACGGGGACGGCAGGGGTGACCCCAGCTGGAGGCTGGCACTGAAGCTGCGCTCACGCCATTTCCCTCTCCCTGGGGCAGGAATCGGGCGCCTGATTGCCGAGTGTCACCTCAACCCCATCATCCTGCCGCTGTGGCATGTCGGTGAGCGTCCCTCTTAGGCCGAGCCTGTGGTCTGAGGATGGGGAGACGGGCTTCCGTAGGAGGTGTCTGCGGGGTGTTCTACTGGGCGGCAGGGAGAGGGTGCCTGGGTGGGGGCTGGGGCCACCCTGCTCCGCCCCACACCTGCTCCCCAGCCTCTGTCCACTGTGCCGCAGGCATGAACGACGTCCTTCCTAACAGCCGGCCCTACTTCCCGCGCTTTGGACAGGTGGGTAGAAGCTGCTGACCTTCGTCAGTCTGTCTGTCTGCCTGCCATCTGCCCCTGGTCTCCCACTCAGCATGACTGGGGCCAGATTCAGGAGGAGCTGAGCTTGAGGCTGCAGCAGGGGGACCATGTGGCGCATGGACCCAAGGACTGGAATGGGCCTTAGATGCCACCGAGCCTCGTTTTAAAGAAGGAGAGTGGCTCAACGGAGCACAAAGCCAGTTAGGGGCAGGACGTGGCTTCTGGCTCCCCAGGGCGATGTGGCTGGGGCTGTGGGCACTCACCCTGTTCTTGTCACCTGGCCGGCTCCCTGCAGAAGATCACTGTGCTGATCGGGAAGCCCTTCAGTGCCCTGCCTGTGCTTGAGCGGCTCCGGGCAGAGAATAAGTCGGCTGTGAGTTGCCCCGGGCTGCCTTTGGCCTGGGTGGGGTTCCCTGGGCAAAGGCCCTTGAGGACTGCAGGCCAGCCCCAGTCCTTCCCCTCAGGTGGAGATGCGCAAAGCCCTGACCGACTTCATTCAGGAGGAATTCCAGCGCCTGAAGACCCAGGCGGAGCAGCTCCACCACCACCTGCAGCCTGGGAGATAGGCGGGTCCCACCCAGCCCCTGCCCAGGTGCCTCCTGAGGCCTGGGGAAGAGGCAGCTCTGGGACCCAAGCCCTAGCCGCCAGGCTCCCAGCGCTGCCTTTGGGATCTCGCCCCGCACACAGTTGGGGCTGGGGGAATGGACTGATGCTTTGAGCTCAGATACGGTTTTTTAGGCAGATTTGTTCATAACCCTTAAAGGGTGACCTCCCCTAGTTGGTGAGCATTCCAGCTCCTTGGCTGCTCTTCCCGCTCGACCACTCTGGGAGGAGGAGATTTAGGCCAGGGCCTCTGCCCTTCTTGCCTTCAAGTGTCCTTTCCCAGGGCCTACGTCCTGACGGAGGGCAGTTGGGGGGTAGGTGGCTAGGCCTGAGCTTCAGGGAGGGGCCCACAGGCCCTTGGCCTGGCCCCGGCAGTGGGGGGGCTGGTCCCCACCTCATCACGGATTCCCTTCTGCCGGAGGTTCCCACAGGGCTGGGAACCACGGGCAGGAGCCAGCCCCAGGCTGCAGGCAGAATAGCAGCCCTTTGCTACAAGTGGAGCCCAATGGGACGGAGCCTGCAGCAAGGGCCTGAGACCTGGCCGTTGGCCCCATGCTGGGGCCCACCAACTTCTCCGTCCTTTCTGTGTCCCTGGCATCACTCCAGTCCCCTGAGGCCGAGTCGCCATATTTTTTAAACAATAAAACCTCTGCATCCTGCTGTTTTAACCTCTGACCTCTCTGTAGGGAGGGGTGGGAGGTGACCCTCTGGACGGGAAGGCTGGACCCTTAGAGTCCTTGAGCAGGTGGGCATCGAACTCTCAGCACACACCAGCCATCGACTTCTGCCACTGTCTGTAATCCCCGGAACCTTGCAAAAGTAGGAATTCATTTCATTTTGCAAAACAGGCAGAGCAAGGCTAAATGGACTTGCTGCAAAACCCAAAGCTAGCAAAGTAGGAAGAAGCAAGTAGCAGTTCCGACCTCCCCTGGCTGTTCCCAGGAGGCGGGAGGTGTCAACGGCTCAGTCAGTGTGCTGTGGTGGGAGGTGGGAAGGGGAACACCTAGATTGAGCTTGGGACCTTGGATGGGAGCAAAAGTGGATCCAGGTGGTGGCGCTCCTGGCAGAAGCCCAAAGCAAATCTTTAGAGAAAAGCAAGCTCACTTTAGGCCCCCAGTTCATCCATAGGTGAAGATCAACCAAAAAGACCTCACAAAGATCAAGCATATAAGGAAAAGAAGTTCAATGGGCAGCAGAAACAAGAACAGGTCTGAAATTGACAGTGTCAGGCAGAATGTGGAAAATACTAGCATAGAAATCGTTACCAAAACAAAAGGGGTCTGTTTGCCTGTGCGCGAATCCTAGAAGAAATACGGGCAGGTTTGCGGCAAAGAAAGTAAGGATTTATTTCAGGGAATTGCAGGTCACGGAGACTCCAGCAAGCTAGCTAAAGCTCTTGACGACACCCCGCCCTCCGCCAGACTCAGGACAGATTATATAGGGAAAAATCAGTCGCCATGGAAACTAAGGGCATGGGTGCTACTGATTGGACGATTGGACGGGGCTGGCGTAATTGATCATTGTGTTCAGTTCTGGAATCTGCCTGGCGCCATCCAGTCTGGTCCTGGGGCCTGGTCCCGGTGGCCCGTGGGGCTGTTGTTGTTCTGCCTCAATGGGCCTGGGGTTGAAACATGTCTAAAGCTAGGACATTATCCTTAATGTAACAAAAACTTGTTGTCCCCGTGACTATAGACCTGAGTGGATAAATCTTAGGTCCTAAGGCTTAAAGATTAAAGGATCAGGAACGTAGGGAGGGATGGTGGAAAAAGCAAGTAAATCACAATGTTGCTATCCCGGCAAAATCTGCCCGAATCAGAAGAACACTCTTAAAGAAACGAAGTTTGTGTGCAGTTACAAAATCTGGAAGGAAAAAAAATGAACCGCAAAAATGAGCCAGCAAGAATATTCAAAGATGATGAGGATCGCAACTGTGTATCTAATTCAAAATGAAACATTTGTAAAAATGACCAGAAGGGAAAAAAAATCACTTGGAGTAAAAAAGGAAACACTTGCAAATGCAAATATAGGTAAAAACAGACTGTTGGCCAGTTTACATTTATAGGTTCAAATGTAACATCCCTTCTTCCTGTATATATTTTATGTCCATTTGAACAAAGCAATTACATTTCATGATGAGTTCAGATTTTATAACCAATGGTAGAATGTTTCATTTTTTTATGTACTTGTGATTTGCTACATATTCATCTTCATAAATATGTAAACATTGTTTTGCAGGGTTTTAAACTTTAAATGATATCGTACTGTACGGATGCTTCCACAATCTGATGTTTTTTATATAGACTATATATTTTAGGGCAGTTTTAGGTTCATGGCAAAATTTGACTTGTCCTGAGATTGTGAAATTTATAAGTGCCATTCTCCATATTAACTGATTTAAGGAGAAACCCCATATGATTATTTCAATAGATACAGAAGCACTTGATAAAATATTCATAATTTTTTAAATTCTTAGCAAACTATAGAGGGGAACTTTCTCAGTCTGATAGTCTACAAAAAAAAAAAAAAACCCAAAAAACCTTTCTTAACCTGATAGACACTATCTACAAAAACTCAATTTTTTTTTTGATATGGAAGCTTTCGAAATCTGGAACAAAACTACTGTACCAGAGCAATAAGACGAGGAAAGGAAGTCAAAGGTATAATGATTGTAAAGAAACAAAACCATCATTATTTGCCGATGGTAGCTCTACAGATAAAATCCAAATGAATTTATAGACAGATTTTTGGAAATAAGGCTTTAGAGAGTCCCAGCTACAAGACCAATACATGCAAAAAACAATTGCATTTCTATACAAACACCAGCAGCAAAGAATTAGAAAATATAATTTAAAACAAGACACCATTCACAAAAGCTACAAGGTACCTAGCAATCAATCTAATAGAAGATGTGAACGACGTATATAAGGAAAATCAAAACACTTTATTGTAAAACATTAAGGAAGACCTAAGCGAGTGGAGAGAGCTCCCATGATGAACAGGAAGACCTGATATAGTAAAGGTGTCGGTTCTCCAGAATCGATCCACTGATTAAATATAATTCCCATCAAAACCTAATCAAGAGGGTTCAAACATGTATTTCGTACACCAGTGTTCACAGCAGCATTACTCACCGTAGCCAAAAGGGAGAACCAAATTAAGTGTCCGTCGACATAGAGACAAAATGTGGTCTTGCAATAAAATGTTATTCGGCCATAAAAAGTCAAGAAATTCTGACATGTGCAACGAAGTGGATGAACTTTGAATACACTACACTAAGTGAAGTAAGCCAGACACGAAAGGCAACTAATTGTATGATTCCATTTGTGTCCCTAGAGGAGTCAATTTCAGAGACAGAGAGTAGGATGGTGGGTGCCAGGGGCTGGGGGGAGGGTGGCGGGGAGGAATGGGGAATTGATGTTTACTGGAGACAGAGCTTCAGTTCGGGATGATGACAATGTTCTAGAGATGAAAGGTGGCGACAGTCGCACAACAGCGTCAATGTACTTAACGCCACTCAACTGTACACTTAAAAATGGTTAAAATGGTAACTTTTATGTGTATTTTACCACAATGTTAAATACCGTAATCAGACTCTTTAAAATAATCTATCAATCTAATAAGTTGGTTTTAAAAGTTCTATGGAAGCACAATAGCTTAAGAAGAATAAGGTGGGAGGATTTGCCCTCCTGGGTATCAAAGTTTATTATAAAGCTATAGTAATTAAGACAGTGTGGTGTTAGCTGGACAAATTGACCACTGGAATGGAATGGAGAGCCCAAAAAGTGACCCACAGCTAGATGGACACTTACTATACGGCAAAAGCAGAATGTTCATCTCATAAACAGTACTGGGACAATTGCAGATGCCTATGGAAATAAAAAGAACTTGACACCTACCTTATACCATACATAAAAGTCTGAAAAACAAGACAACTCCTAGAAGATAATGTAGGAGAATATGTCCATAATCTTGGGGGCAGGGAAAGTTTATTTTAAAAAGGACATAAAAAATATTAACCATAAAGAAAAAAATGGTAAATTTGACTACATTAAAATTAAGAAGTTCTGTTCATCAGAAGACACTAAGAGAGTGAAAATGGCAGCCACAGAGTAGAAGGGATTTGTAATACATATAGCCAATGCAGGGCTCATACCTAGAACGTATAAAGAACTCCTATAAATCGATAAGAAAAAGATAAACAACCCAAATGACCTGGAACGCAGTAGTGAGGTGGTGGCCCCTTTTGTGGCCCTTTACCAGGTAGGCCCTATAGGACATCGGTGACTCAGGGAATGTAACTGAGCCCCCAGGCCATGAGCAAGAGCGAGTGGAGGGAAGAACCTGAGCATGCGGTGGACTGATCCCTTCCTTCGTCACCCACTGGCTGCCCCTGCTCCTGTCCTGTCACCATGCCACCCAGTCAAACTTCTGTCCCAGATCAACAGTGAGGCACCGATCTCTTCTGCCTTCTCTCTCTCTTCACCTCCATTACCTTGGCCAAGCCCCTGTCATCTCTCTCCCAGAGATGGCAATAGTCTCCTGCTGCCACTTTTATCCCCTCTGATCTGTTCTGGTCGCCACAGCCAGATCAGCCCTTTAAAACAGGGGTCCCTAACCCCCGGGCCGTGGACTGGGACCAGTCTCTGGCCTGTTAGGAACCGGGCCGTACAGCAGGCGGTTAGCAGCGGACCAACGAGAGAAGCGTCATCGATATTTGAGGCCCGCTCCCCAGCGCCAGCATCCCCGCCTCAGCTCCGCCTCAGATCATCAGGCATTAGATTCTCATAGGAGCCCCGGGCCCTGGTGTCAAAAATGTTGGGGACCGCTGCTTTAAAATACAAATTAGATCATGGAGCAAGGGCTTCAATCTCCATCTGGGCTTCTGGGGCTACATTAAGCTCCAGCACAAACCTCTCCCCTCAGCTGGCCTGGACGTTGCCACTTGGGGGCCTGAATGGGGCTCTTGGACCCCATTCCAACGTGTGTGAAGGCTGCTTCCCCACAAACCAGCAGGGTGTCTGAGGATTCAGCTCAATTCTGACTGGATGTGTCCAGAAAGAGAATCAGATACACAGGTCGAGGGCTCAGTCCCACAAGACCGCTCTGCACTTCAGAAGCCAGTCACACGCCCAGGTTCTCACCTGTGTTTCTGATTGACTGGCTATAGACTAGGGGTTCCAACGACCCCCTCCTCGGGTTCAATTAATTTGCTAGAACGGCTCACAGAACTCCAAGAAACACATTACTTACTAGATTACCGATTTACTAGTTGTTCTCCTGGGTTTTTATGGCGTTTCATTACCTAGTCGTGACTGATGAAATCATTAGCCACCAGCAACTGAACTCAGCCTCCAGCTCGTCTTCCCTCCCTGAGGTCAGGGAGTGGGACTGAAAGTCCCAGCCCTCTAATCACATGGTTGGCTCCATTGGCAACCAGCTCTCATCCAATGGTGCTTTCCCAACGTCACCTCATTAATACAATGAAAGACACCTTGACCGCACTCAACGGTTAGGAAAGTCCAAGGGTTTGACGAGTCGTGAGCCAGAAACTGTGGGTGAAGATCAAATATCTCATAAACCACAATATCTCAAGGCCCTACAAACATTGCAAATGTATGTGTCCCCAACTGACCCGATCTCCCAGTCTCCAACTCAGAGAGACCCAAGAGCCATCATTGGCTTCTGTCTTCCTCAACCATGTCCTGTGAAGCTCACTTCCTCTCTCCAGCTCAATTGCCATGGTCCTAATCTGAGCCACACTTGTGACAATGACAGGTACAACGTCATAAGCAGTTTCTCTGATAAGTAGAGGTGATCGATGGGCTGTCACTACACAAGGCTGGGAGGAAGCCATTGTGTACATGGTATGGTGGTCCCCAGCACCTAGCCTCTCTTTCCAGTGTGCCTTCCTGTGCCACATGGAGGGCTTTGCATGCAGATTGCATTCTACCCATGAGAGGCACAGCCCTGGGAGTGTTGGTTTTCTTCAGCAGCCTTCTGGCTCCAGTCACAAACATCCTGGTGTTTGAGGGGCAGGGGTAGAAGCAGCTGTGGCTGGGCACGGTGTCCCAGTGTCCAGTCATGAGTGCCCAACTTTTTGCAACTACAAATGGTGCCAAAATGGACCTATGTGTGCATCTTGTGCTCAGCTGAGTATTTCTGTTGAATGGATCCCTAAGAGGGAAATTGCTTGATTCAAGGTCATACACACTTTACAGTTTGTTAGATGCTACCAAATTATCCTCTAAAAAGGTTCTACCAATTGATACTTCACCACTGTGTAGGTGAGCCTCTATGTCCCCGAATCTGTGCAGACAATGGGCATTATTCAACTTTCTTTTCCATGTATTATCAAAAATGTCAAACATATATTAGTTTCCTAGAGAGATCATCACAAATTGGGCAGCTTAAAACAACAGACATTTATTCTCTCCCAGTTCTAGAGGCTAGAAGTCCAAAATCAAGGTGTCAACAGGGCCCTGCTCCCTCTGAGAGCTCTGGGGAAGAATCCTTCCTCAACTCTTCCAGCTTCTGGTGGCTGCAGGAGTTCTTTGGTTTGGAGCTGCATCACTCTAATCTGTGTCCTCAACTGGCATTCTTCCTTGTGTGTGGCATTACAAGTTCTAGATGGACATGAATTTTAGGGGGACATTGTTCAACCCAGTATATGTGTGTGTGCGGGGGGAGAGGGAGAGAGAGAGAGAGAGGGAGAGAGAGGGAGAGAGAGAGAAAGGAAGAGGAAAAGGGAGGGAGTGGGAGGGAAGGGAGAATGAATGCACGGGAGAATGAATGTATGCACCCATGTGTAGAATGGACGTGGGGGGACGATAAAGAAGGAGCAGGGACTGCATGAAAGACCAAAGGA